TATCATATCTTAGAGGGTAATTAAACTCATGAGATTGTCGCATTATTGATCTAAATAATAAAGGAGGTTTTGTATTAAATAATAATGCTACATATCTACAAAAAATTAAAAATGCATGAAGTATTGTCCAACACACATTCTCAATATATTTAAAAACAGAAAGTATATACTATTTTCCATATAAAATTATAGGAATAAAAATGAAAAAAAAAAAAAACTTTGCTTAGGGAGATGGTAACCATCCAAGTTGAGTGGAGTTGGGATGCCTTTAACAAAGAGAGGGAAACAAACGATAAAGACAGCTTTATCTCCACATGCACTCATCCTTTGTTTAATCTTATTTAAGCACTATAACAGTTTTCTTGTAAATTAAAAGTTGATGTATCAGTAACATCAAATACAAGCTCGGATAAATTTTTTTAAATTGACTTCATTTAAATCGGATAAAATGTTTAGATTTATGTTAGTGGAATAACTCAAGTTTACAAAAAAAAAAATCTCGGTCCAATATTGTTGGGTATTTTTTGAGGGGAGTAAAATGAGGTATCAACACTGTATTATGCATTAAAAACTGAATGGTTTTACCTATGTTTACAGAAAGTCGTCACAATTTTAGAGATAAAATGCATCCCACAAAGGCAACAAATGTAGCAAAATTTATCTTGTTTCGCTTGACAATTCATTGTAGCCCTCTACATGTTTTCTCCCAAAGAACATAAACAAAGTCAGTGCGTGTCTAACAAACACGCTTTTATTTAGTCTTTAACATTCATGCTAATCAAAACAATTATTGGCAATTGCAATAGAGGAATAAAGAAAAAAGAACGCAACATCACCAGCCGCAAGAAGTCCTTTGCTTCTGTCCTCTGCTCAATAGCTTTGTCAAGAACCTCGGATGTTGACTATTGGACAAAAAACAATTAATAAATTCATTTTCACTTGCCAAAATCCTAGTCCACAGCTCACTGATATTGCAAAATGTTACTAGTGATAGAAAACAATTAATAGATTCATTTTCTTTTAGTGTAGAAACCAGCCAAATGTTACATTGTTTGAGTCAAATTCCCATGCTATGTTAAATTATTGTGGTTGGTGTTACTATTCTATGAAACTCAGTCCAGACTTCATCATTAAATTGATACAATTTAAAAAAAAAAAAAAAAAATCAATTTTTTCAATCACATAAGTTGTAGAGAATAATAAAACCACAACTAAAAAACCACATAGTATGCAATTAGCTATATCAGCTCTGGAAAGCATATACTAATTCGTCTTACCGTTGAATGTGACCAATAACAAAGCGTATGACAATGCCCTTCTCTTCTCTAGCTTCCTTCTTTTCTCACCTTCAATTTTTTTTATCAGAGAACCCATTAGTCATTGATCATATACAATAACATCAATCATGAAATTAAAAACAAAGCTGCAAGATCAGCTAATGCACCTTGGGCATCCACGTCTCCCACAGGAATCTCTTCGCTTTTGGCTACTAAAAGCTGTATTAATCCCATAAACATGAAATATTTTTTGTTAGACTTTGCAAACTTTTGGTTTTATGACTTGGAGAGGCCCTTCGGTAGAGACATATCCTTTTTTACAGCTGCTGATTCATCTTGTGTTCTCGCATTCCATATCAGGAACAGGATGTGGATTCAGTTGACTCCATGCCATTACATGAGGGCATCACTTGTAAATTGTATCCAACTCAAACAAGCATGGGATTGCTTACCGTTGGGATGATGAGCCTTAAAAACTTCATTGCTTACAAAGCTTCTGATGAAACCAAGGAAAACACAAAGTTTGAAGTATGAAACACATCAGTTATTATGAACTTGAATAATTAAATAAAGCAACAAAAACAGAAAATGAGTAAATAGTTTGATGATGATAAGTCTAGAAAAGAGAATAATTTCCATCAGAAAAATTGTTTGCACATTGTATTTGGATAATGCTACATTTTTTAATTTCTTGAAAAAAAATATATAGAAGTCAGAGAAGTTGAGGTTTAAACTGATTCAAGTGGAGGCTGCTTGAGATTCATGAAAAAATAACTCTTTGTAGTGATTGAAGACTCATATACCATGAAAATCTGAATGATCTTTCAGGCCAACTGATCTATCTCATGAGCTCCAAGTTCAAGCTTTGCTTAAAAATTTAAGAGTTAGAAACAGGATTTATTTCTGCTCGTAAATCTTGACAAATATTTGTGAAAACTCCAAATCAAGTAGATCTTGCTAGTCACCATGGTTGATAATAGCTATTCCAAATGAGGAAAAGCCAAATAAATGTATCGCCAAGGTAAGCTTTTAGCAATTATATTCTAGTGGTCACTGAACCAATCCTTTTCTTAGGTTGTGTTGCGATCTTGGATTTGGCGAGGATTTTGTGTGAAGGGAAAAGAAAAGATCCAAACACAGACTGAAAATTTGGCTTACAAAATGCAGCTAAACGTTAGGTTTTGTTAAATGGAAGATGCACTCAAAAGTTTGAGATTATAAGCCTCAGAAACTAAGTGTCTTCTTCAGCTTTGACAGCAGTTGTCCTTGCAATAACCATTGTTTCAGGCGCCAGCCATATCCTGATACCAAGTGCTCCAAATCAATATGACATGCAAATATTGTTAATGCTTCATCTTTCATGCATAAAACTAGGTATAAAAAATTGTACAAGTTGCTAACAACTAAAATAAGATCCATATAAAATATCAAATATGTGGACTTAGTCCCCACCCCATCAGATGGGTTCTGGAGGGCTAATTGGCGTACAGGCCTTATAGGGTCACTGGTCCCAGTGGTTAAACTTGATCCCTCAATCTTGAGTTTGTTCAGGTTCAAACCTAGAAGGCGAATAAGAATGTCCTGTTTATTTAAGAAAGTTTGATCCTCAAATCTTGACTTCACATAATCTTTGTGTCATGGTTTAAAACAAAACAATCGCAAATATAAGAATGTCCTGTTTATTTAAATGAAATGAAATCAGATGAAATCGTCAAAATATATTCAGATAGACAGAAAAGATATAAGAAATTAGACCAAAACCAGGAACACCCGGCGAATCGAGAGTCTCTTCAATCATGTGAGAATCTGAGGCGGACCAATGTTCTTTGAAGCTGAAAGCTTCGGAGCCTGCTATTAATGGCTGCGGTGGTCCCTAAGCAGCTCCTCACCACTGGAATGAGGGAGCAGCTAGAGGAAAGCCAACGAGTGAAACAAAAGAGTGAGGCTCCTTAACCCCGTCACTCGACGCCATCGTCTGCCGTGCTCACAGTCGCGAGAGAGAGAGATGGGGATTTTGGTTCAAAAAATTAGGGATTTTGGGGATTTTGGTTGGGGGGGGGGGGGGGGGGAAAGGAGCAGGAATCAGATTTTGTGGTTTTTTTTCGCCACATCAAGCATAACTAGCTCAAATGAAATTTAAGGTACGATTTTGATAACATTTATTATTTTTAATTTATGTTTAAAAATTTATAAAATAATTTTTATTTATTTTTAAAAAATATAAATTACAAAAACGTTTGAACAAAAATATTTAAAAAAAATTAAAATTATAAACTAAAAAATATGTTTATCCAAGTCTAAAATATTTATATTTATTTTTTATTATTTATGACAATGAGATCATGCACATTTTAATTGAAAAAAAATTATGAAAAATTTTATTTGAAAAAAAAATATTTAAAAAATTAATTAAAAAATATTTGAAAAAACAATTAATTAAAAAAAAATGTTAGTCAATTTTTAGATTTTTTTGTTAAAAACCAACGTAAACTCATTTTTTGAGAGAGATGAGTGAAAGAGAGGGAAAAGATAGATGAGCGAGAGACACAGAGAGAAAGAGACAGAGAGAGAGAGAGACCCATTTCATTTTTTGACTTTTTTCTCTTTCAACACAATGGGCTCAGAGAAAAATATGAGTGTGAATGAGAGAACTGAACGATTGAGAGAAAGAGAGATGAGGGAGAGAGAAATAAAAATAAAATAAAAAGAGAAACAAGATGAGCGAGAGAGAGAGAAAGACAGTAAAAAGAGATGAACAAGAGATATAGAGAGAGAATGAGAGAGAAGAAAGATGAGCAAGAGAGATGAGAGAGCCAGAGAGAATAGTGATGAGTGAGAGAGAGAGAGGACACACACACACACAGAGAAAAAAAGAAGAGAGAAACAAGATGAGCGAGAGATAGACAAAAAGAGAGAGAGAGAGAGAGAGAAACAGCAAAAAGAGATGAACAAGAGATATAGAGAGAGACATAGAAGAGAAAGAAAGATGAGCAGAGAGATACGGAGCAGAGAGAGATAAGAGAGCTAGGGAGAAGAGTGATGAGTGTGAGAGAGAGGCCCCCATTTCATTTTTTGACTTTTTTCTCTTTCGACAAGTGATTAAGAGAAACGAGAGGTGAGCGATTGAAAGAAGAGAGAGATAAGGGAGAGAAAAAAAAAGAGATCAATAATCGAGAGAGAGATCGATAAATCAATAAGAGGGGATGGAGAGAGTGAGCAACGCAAGCACAGTGTGGGATAGAGAGAGAGAGAGA